AGATTTTATTTATTTGAGAGGGAGAGAGAGAGTGAGTGAGAGCACAAGAGCAAGGGGAGGGAGAAGCAGGCTCCCCGCTGAGCAGGGAGCCCGAAGCAGGAACACGGGACTCAATCCCAGGACGCTGGGATCATGACCTGAGCTGAAGGCAGACGCTTAACCAACTGAGCCACCCAGGCGCCCCTAACTTAATATTTCTTAGGTGCTTTTCCTGTTAGTATATATAGGTCAAACTCATTTTTAATAGCTGCATAATATACCATATCAGTATAAATGTTTTAAATTTAACTCTTTCCCTATTGGAAGGTATGTTTGCTTTCTAAGAAAGTTTTTCACTATCCCAAGGGACGAGTGGGTTTGGAAGAGAGGAAAAAATAGATCCTCAAGTGAAAGAGACCAGAGACCTGGGTTGTTTCCAACTTTACTCTAACTTGTGACCTCTGGTAAATCTCATTCCTTCTCTAGGAATGTGTCTGAACCTGTCAAAGAGGTTTTAGATGATGTATGTTTTGAAATGATTAAAGCTCTTTACCTCCCAGAAATGCCCACATAGAAAACATTTCTTAGGAATATGAAGATAAGAGTGCTGTAATCCCTTCAATCTACCCATAAACCCCACTTTGAGATTTCATAGGCTGCGTGGATCTCTTAAGGTTTTTCCCTGACTCCAGAAACCATTTGAGGCAGTATGATTTTCTAAATAAAGAAGTGGATTAGCAGCCTAGCAATGTGTTACATTTGGTCACCGACCTCCCTGCCACATTTGTGGTATTTTAGGACAGTTTCCTCTCACTTGAGCAGGGTCAAGCCTCAGCATGGGTTTGGGGATTTATGGGTTTGTGGAGCTGCAGAGCACCTTAGGCTGGCTCTCAGCACGTCCATTGGCCAGTGGTCACTCCAGCCCCTTTTGAGTGCCTCTGGGCTGCTCTTTTCCCTCTTTAGTAGGTCTGCAGCACCCCTCCCACCAGCACACCCTGACACCCATCAACTTCTCCTGGCTCTTAACTCCTCACACCCGCCTAGAGTGGACTTGGGTCTTCCAAAATAGATGAGACTGTGAGGAGAGTGGGGAAAGATATCTAATGTTCATTATTTGCAAATTTCAGCTGCTAATGTGTATTTGATGTTTGATGATTTTATATATTTTTAGAAACCATCTTTTTGTTTCAAAACAACATGAGGGAATGGCAAAAAATGCAGTTCCTTTGAATACTTACACCAGTTATATTTTTCTCTGGGTCCAGTTTCCTCCTCCGTTGACAGCCCTTTCCCTCACTGACTATTACCTTATCTCCTCCACCCTTGGCTAGACACCCCTCTCTCTACCTCAAACTGTCTGCCTGATGGAAACCATTTGAGGAAACTGCTAAATTACTATATTTTTTTCTAGAACGTATGGTTGTCCCCACTGACAGGCTCTTATTAAGTAGAATATTCTTAACCCAGCCTGAGAGTACATGTGCTCAGATGACTTCTGATATCCACAACTATGTTGAGAATAATTGCAGGGATTCACAGCCCTTTTTTTGCGCCCTGGTTCTTTTTGACAGTCTGGTGTTGTCTGTGGCTCTCTACTCAGGATGATGTTTTAAATACATAAATACATTATTGCCTGTTACAATGAGGAGGACTGGGGAGGTAGGTTCAAAGACAGTTGCTCAGAAGGTGCCTTGGCTGTTGCTTACTTTCCTCTGGGCAGGAGGATTTCCTCACTAATCTGGCAGCCTTGGCTCTGCCCTATTATAGTTACTGACACTGTTATTCACTAATATTCATTGTGAGTGGGCAGCAGGTTTCTCCTTTCAGACAGCAGTTATAGGGAAACACACCTACATGAGCATGAAGAGAAGTAAATTCCCTGCTTCTGTGGGCAGAAACTAGGTGAATTGTTAGAACTTCAGCTGGTTTGCTTGGGAGAGAAGTGATTTGGGTACAAAATGCTTGTTAAAGAAGAATGGCAACTGTTTCGTTGTCTTGCAGCCAGATCCCTCCTACAGTCTATCAAGCCAACCTTAGATCTGTTCGAAGACCACAGTAAGGAACTCGAAATTTTTTGTAGTGGGTCTTGTCTCCTGTGAGGGAGCTTTGGCCCTTGGTGGGGGAGATTTCCCTCTGACAAACAAACCCTGTGACAATGGGAAACCATTGATGAGTATTGAATAGTATTCAGAACCTTAGTTCCCCGTATTTGGTTTATAATGCTGTAGAAGGTGACCCACTGGAGAATGAGAAACTGTTAGGAGAGGTAATCTACCATGAGCCCTGAGTACCCCTGTGTGTTCTTGCTTCGTATGAATGTAAGACACTGACCCCTTCCTGGGCATATCTCAGTGTTCTGTTGACAGCAATCTTGAGAGATGAAATAATGTCTCTTCCCAAGGAGCAGGTTTCCCTACTGTGCATTATAAAAATGTTGAATCCCTCAAGCTCAGGGTTCTTTCCCTATGACACATTCCCCCTGCATGTATGTGTAGGTATCCGTCTAGGCCTACCCCAAGTCACTTTTTTTGGGGGGGCATGGAGAACTGGCACAAACATCATGCTCATGTTGCTTCTTGTAAGCATAAAGTTCTCTTATCTCTGATCTGGGAGTCTCCCGTCACTTGCCAGTTGCAAGTAGGATAAAATTCCAGACCTTTCATCGATTACTCTGACAGTTTGGGTAACGAGGATGGGATCCTGACAGACATGGCTTTCTAAAAGAGAAAGGACATGGGTCCGGTGAGGGAATATGAGAAAATAACTTGGGGTCTAGTAGGAAATGCTGCTGAGCAAGCGGGTAAGGGTCCCTCATTGTCCCACCTGTTAATATTTCAAGGCTAAATAGCAAGAGGTAGGATTGAAACACATTGCCCAAATGGTACTTAGGTTGTTACTCACTCTTCTCTGGACAGGAGGAGGAAAGGATGTTTTGATAACAAGGCAGCATGCTTGTGGCCCCAGCTGAAGGCCCTATGGCTGTGACTGATGAGTCGAGCGTTCCCCAAAGGCGAAATAGATGGTGTCAGCAAAAAAGATACAGAGCTTTGAATGGACCAAATATATTCGGAGTTTGTTGAGTCCAAGGAGGTAGCCATTTGAAATGAAAGTAAATACATGACCTTGTTTACTGGCACAAGGTCAGTCTCCCTCTGTAAACCCCTAATCCTTCTCTCACTCTTTTTTAAGGAAAGACCTTCTTTATGCTGGGGATTTTTGAGGAGGAGAGGGACTCTCTTTTTATAGCTCTGTTGAATATAAGCATCTAGGTCACTATCCTACTTGGTCCCATGGAGACAGGAAGCCCTGGGCACAGGGATGGTCAGAAGTACCAAGGAGCGTGGAGCAGATCCATGGTAGTAATGCAAGGCAGGCAAAAAAACAAAAAAAACCAAACCCAGCTCCTGAGCCCTAGGTGCTTGTTGGAGCCAAGAGATACACAAGGAAGAGGAGGCACTGACCCTGGAGCAGGAGTCTAAGGAGAAGAGGCCTTCCCACTGACCCAGCTGCTCCCTGCAGGCTAGCCTCTCCCACTCCCTTCATATCTTCACACTCTTTGCTGGGATGGAGTATAATCTTTTGGTGGCTGTGCCTTCCAATCTTAGATTGCCTGGTTTGAGTTCCCATAGTTGGAGACAGGGGGCGGTGGGGAGAAGTGCCTGAATTCATGTGGCAACGTTTGGGCAAAGTCTGTAGTGGGAAAGGAAAATGAGCGACAGCAGGGGAGCCTCTGAACTGATTCAGTTACTACTGTTTTATGGCTTTCACAGTAATGTGTTACTAGTAGCAATTACCCACTCAATTGAACTGTGAAAGTTTGTAAGTCTCCCATTCAGGGACTACTGCATATAGAGAAGTGATTCCTGGCTTCTCTTGAGTAGTGTAACAAACTATAGAATCCTAAGAGGAGAGAAAGGAAAATGAACAGCTTTAGTTGAAAACTTGGTGACTGCTGGAGTACTCAGGCCATTTCCCAGTATAGCAGTGCTACATGTCCTTTGCAGGCACCAAGTACACCCTTTTAAAAAGTTGGACAGCCAGAGGCACCTGGGTGGCTGAGTGTCCAACTCTCGGTTTCCACTCAGGTCATGATCTCGGGGTCATGAGATCGAGCCCTGCGTCAGTCTCTGTACTGGTTGTGGAGCCTGCTTAAGATTCTCTCTCCCTCTCAAAAAAACAAAAACAAAAATTGGACAGCCAGGAGGCTATTACTGAGCTATTGCTGAAACAATATCCGACCCATGGAAGCCTGGTAAGTGACCTAACACCCCCATTTTGGGTTATGTGAAATTAGAGGTGAAACTAACAAAAAGTGCAGCAGCCTTCCCTAGTCAAATGGAAATGTTGTGTTCTGGGGATGCAGCCAGCTGTCCATCTTAGTTTTACATGAAGTGATAAGTCACTCCTTTGGAAGAACTGTATTCCCCACTCAGCTGCCTGGAGCTGACCCTTAATTCACAGAGACTTCCCTAATCAAATGCCTGGGCCTGGTTCACTGATGGTCCAGCTAAGTTAAGAGCTGTTGGTGTCAAGTGATGGTTCTGGAAACTGACTACAGTAAAGGCTGATCACCACAATGGGCTGAATTGAAAACTGTTACCCGTGTCCTAGACAATCCCTAGGGACCAGACATGTTAAATTTTTACTAACTCAGGCTATTGCCAATGGCCTAGTCTTCTGGTCTGTCACTTGGAAGACACAGACTGTCAGATTAAAGACACCCTTGGGGGCCACAAACTAAAAATTGCAGCTATTAAACTGGGTCACATGTAAATGTCCATCGTGGGGGTTCATTCTCTGATGAGACCAACTGGGAATCAAGTTGCTGATGGAGCCTGTAACCACTCAGATTGCCACCATCATTGCCTGGATTCATCCTCATACCAGTCATGGCCTTACATGCATCATTGTAGCCTGGGCACAGAGTAAAAGATTGATGGTTCTGATGCAGAGGCTACCGCTACAGGCCAAGCTTGTGACTCCTGTTAAAAGTCTTCTTTGTCTAGCACAGGCCTGGACTCCACCCAGTCCTGACTGACTCTATCAGACCTTTGGTTCCCTCTTGGGGTTATCAGTAGTGCCTCAACACTGTTGCCACTTTTTCAGGTTACAGTTTACAATGTTGCTGTTCTAGTCAATCAGCCAACTCCAACCACACTGTTTTGATTTTGAAACTAATCTGTCTCGTGTTACTGTTTTTCTTGACCACATACAGTCTGACAGTGGTGAATCTATTACAAAAACCACTCAACAGAAGGCTGATAGTCAAGGTCTTTGATGGGCCTTCCACTCCACAAGCATCGACTATCATAGTATGTTGGGACTGACTACTCAAAAAATGTACTCAAAAGATTTCTACTTACCTCATCCTGGTCAGTATACCTTCGTAAGGCAGTTTGGCCACTGAATATGGCTGTTCCCGGAAAGCAGTCACTTTTTACTGCCATACTAGAAATCTCCAGGAAAGAAGAACCAATAGTTTGTGTATATATGAAGAGATGTATTATAAGAAAATGGCTCTCATGATAATGGAGGCCTAAAGGTCCCATAATCTGCTGTCTGCAAGCTGGAGACCCAGGAGAGAGAGCCAGTGGTGTAGCTCCAGTCTGAATCAGAAGGCCCAAGAACCAAGAGAACTGATGTTATAAGTTCCAGTCCAGAAGCAGGAAAGGCCTCGTCCTAGCTTGAAGACAGGCAGATAGAATGAATTCTCCCTTACCCCAACTTTTGTTCTATTCAGGTCTCCAACAGATTGGACAGCAAAAACATTTTGCTTTACTGAGTCTCCTGAGCCAAATAGTAATCTCATCAAGGAACACCCTCAGACGTACCCAAAATGTTGTTTAACCAAGTATCTGGGGACCTCGTGTCCCGGTCAAATTGACATTTAAAATTAGCTGCTTGTGGTGCAATGATCAGAAAGAGAGACTGGAGAGTGTTGTGTAGATTTATTCTGGAAATTCAGTATTCTGCCCTGACCATTGCTAGGCATGATGTTATCTTTGCCCTAACAGCATCCGCAGGCCAGCCTTGTTGCTACAACTTCCAGGTGGCAGCCTAGCCAAAAGGAGGCTAGAATATTCTCATTCAATTCTGGTTCAGGCACCTGGATCCTCTTGTTGGTTGACATGGTCCTTGGAGCCTTCCTCTCAAAGGAAAATGGCCTAGTACAAGTCTCCCAAACTATTGCAGACTCCTTAAACTTGACTGACTGGTTTGACATCCCCTGCTAGATGGCTGTCACCATAATTTAGTCATTAACCTACTGAGAAGTCTATCAGAAACATCAGGGGCACTTTCAGCTCCCATACCTCTCCTGCAAAACACGTCACAACCTGTAGGTGTCTCCCTAACCCCCATTCTAGTAGCTATTGCTCTCTTTTCCTATGGGGTGGACAAATGCCACCTGGCTGGTAGTGTGTACCTGTGGGACAGTTTGGGCCAATTGCCATCAGGCTGTCTTTCCAAAAATAAGGACTGTTCTCAATTATTCTAAGTTAATGGGAACTCTGAAGCCTACCAGGTGCCTAGGAGGCCTCATTAGTGACAGTCAACTGCTGTTCCCTGAATGATGTAGGTCCTACTTGGGAGGCCCAACAGTTTAAACAGGTATCACATATGCCCTCAGGACTGTACCTTATATGTGGAAGCCAGACATTAACTTGCCCCCCTCCCTGAAAACATGGTGCCTTGCACCATAGGGAGGATCATAAGCAACCTTTAAGTGTTTAAGGAAGCACCATCATTAGATCATGTATCCCTCAGATGACTGTGGAGATTGCTCCAAAATGAGGCTACCTTTGGTTACATGGAGGAGCTTTCTGGAGGGGTGGCTTATTCATGCACATTCTGCAAGAAGTTATCTGCAAGCAGTTTTGATTTTGAAACTAATCTGTCTCGTGTTACTGTTTTTCTTGACCACAGACAGTCTGACAATGGTGAATCTTCTATTAGAGATTTATCTTATTTGAGATGTCATCTTATTTGAAATGTTGATATGAAATTCATCCCTGACTTTAGCTGAAGCCGTCAGTGATACCACCTCAGCCCTGTAAGGCATTCAGGTGAGTCTCAACTCACTGGCCAGTGTGGTTATGGGTGATAGAATGGCCCTCGACTTCTCTGTGGGCCAAGGTAGGTCTCCAATCACGAGTACATCCTGCTGTACCTGGATTAATCCCTCAGGCTGGGTATAGAGCCAATACAGAAATTAGAGAATGCCACCTGGCTTTCTAAGGCAGACCTTGATGTATGGTTGGGTTTTTTTGGATGCCATTTTTCTAGCTAGTTGAGTCCTGGCCCTCGGTTGATTCCTGACCAGTTCTGCAGGTTGGTCTCATCCTGTTGCTTGGAGTTCTGTTGATAGTATGCTAATTAAATGTTGTATGAAACCATTAGAATGGATTTGGTCCCTTTTCTGTCAGATTAATCAGTGGCCAATAGAAAATTCATCAGAAGTCATCTGTACAAGTTTCTGTGAAGGCTGGAAGAGGAGTAACTTTTAAAGCAGGAAAGCCTGGGAGGTTCTCATATAGGAAGTGAAACCTGTTTGATCTAGCCATGAGTGAGGATTAGTACCAAGTGTGTCCATTTTACAGATGAGGAACCTAAGGCACAGAAGGTTGCCAAGGTCACCGAGTTCGGGAGTGGGAAGTCAGAATTTAAATCTCTTTCCCTCCAGATATAGCGATTGCTACTCACTGTTTTGGGCATAAGACTGAGACCACCAGTCAAAGAAGAATTGAGAAAAATTTGGCATTAGCTTTAGATATTTTTCTTTTTTTTTTTTAAGATTTTATTTATTTATTTGAGAGAGAGAGAGAGCATGGGGGGGGAGGGTCAGAGGGAGAAGCAGACTCCCTGCTGAGCAGGGAGCTCCATGTGGGACTGGATCCTGGGACTCCAGGATCACCTTAAGATATTTTTCTAAAACTGACTAGGTGATTGATCTACAGAGTTGGTGATTGTGAGTTTGGAGAAGTCTGGGTGAAGAACCCTAGGATTTTGTATGAGCCAATCTTTGAAAACTAAGATATTTTTTAAAAATTTTAAATAAAACTGAAATATTTAATAAGATTTAAAGAAGAATAAAATGAACCACCTTAAGATAAATTACCAATACAATTGAAGTCCCTTGGGTATTCTTAATCATGTCCTACTCTCTACACTCCCTGAAGTAACTACTACCCTGAATTTAGTATTTATTATTCCTATGCATTTTCTTCCTGTCTATCCATTAATATGTTACTGTTTTATATGTTTTAAAACTATATATGGTATTTGTAGTAGTAGTCCCAAGACTACCCCTAGGTTCATAGACCTGCTAGAAGGACTCACAGGACTCAGCATTATAGTTGCACTCACAGCTAAGATTTATTACAGCAATGTAGTAAGGACACATTGGCTCAGAAGAAAAAAACACAGCGGAGTCTGAAAGAATCCATGTGTAGTATTTCTTATGCTTCTCCCTCTCATTGAGGGGTTGCATTAAGCACAATTTCCCCCCAGCAAGGAAAATGCAGCATGTGTACCATGTTTCTGCCTAAGGAATCCATTAGAGACTCAGCACTCACAGTTTTATTGAGGGCTGGTATGTGGGCACCCTCTGCCTAGCATGTACCAAAATTCCAGACTCCCAGAAGAAAAGCAGGTGTTCAGAATAAACCATATTGTGTTCAGTCTGTGCACAGTCTACATTTATTAACTGAACTCTAGTGTAGAAAAAGCTGTCCTCTCTCCTCCATTTATTTATTCAATTATATCAATATGAACTCATGGATTTTTATTCAGTGGCTTGTAATACTATTATTTTCGCACTCGATATATAATCATGCAGACCCATTTAAAATTATACATATAATTTTTATTTTTTTTAAGGACGGGTGTCCATTGCTCTGGATCTCCCCGTCCTTTTTGCGGAGTCCTCTCTTGCCGGCCGGAACCTTTTTTTGGCTCTCAGGCTGTCCGGGGAAATTTTAGGCGGTGATACCTATCAACTGACAGGCGACCCAATAGGTAGGAGCGTGGGACTAGGGGACTGAGGGGAGGGAGAGAGGGGGAGGAAGTGAAAGGGTGCGGGGCGGAGCCAGGGAGCTGCGCGGCCGGGGGGAACCGCGGAAGGCCCAGGGCCTGAACCAAACTAAGGGCTGCCCTGGAGCGGGTGGTGGTCCGAGAGGAAGAGGCAAGTCCCGTGCCGCTTCTGGGACGCTGCTAGAGGCGAAAGACCGAAAGGACGGCCGCGGCTCCGCAACGAGGGGGCGGGGTCTCGGTTGCGTCCGTCCCACGGGGCGGGGCTGAGTCTGGGGAGCGGCCAACCGCTAGTCCAACAGCCGGCTGGCTGCGGCCTCCGCGCGTCCGCGCCCCCGCTTCCGGGCCTGCTATTCTGGGAGTCCGGGGACTGTCGGTCTCCCCGTCTCCTCGTGGGTTTTGTCGCCCTGTAGTTTTCGTGGCTTGCTTCCGAGTCCTCTGCAGTCTCTCTCTCCCCCACTCCTGCCTCCGTCTCCCCAGCCTGGCTCATTCTCCCGCGCTTCGGTGTCCGAGACCTGAGGGCTGCCCGGCGCCGAGCTCTGCCCCGAGAGAGATGGAGGAGCCGGGGTCCCGCGCAGGTGAGCGGGGCTGCGACACTGCAGAGATCCCCCCAAAGTGGGGCACTGTGAGTGTGGGGACAGGTTCGGCGGCACCGTCTGGACTTAGGAAATCCAGTCTGGGGGAGAATATTGAGTCAGAGCCACGACCTCAGGCGTGGATCTCAGACGTGGCCGGAGAGTATTCTTGGCTGGTCTATTTTTGTTTTCCTTCGAGTGAAGCCAAACCTAAACCTTAGAGTTACCATTTTAGAGATGAAAGGGAACTGAGCCTGGGGCAACCCTTCTTTCTAGAGAGGGGTGTGGGGGTCGTAGAGAGTCCCCAGCTGGAACTTAGAGGACCTGGATCTTGGTCCAGGTTTGCTACTGACCTATTGAGAGGCCTTATATAAGCTACTCCCCTCTGTAGTCCTGAGTTTTCCCATGTGTACAGTGAGAGGGGTTTGGAGTACTGGATCTCCAAAGGCCTGACAAAGGATGGGTGCTGTTTAAATATTAGTTGTTACGAGTAAATAAGTGAGTTAGGGAGGCCTCCTTCTGGGGTTCACTGGAAGCTGCCTGGTGCACTGAATTAACTGGAATCTTTGGAATTACGTTGTTCATTACAGTGCTGAGAAATAGGTGGCATTATCCCCTTTACAAGCGAGGAAACAGAGGTACAGAGAGAAGGCAGACTCCAAAGTCCAGGTCACACTATACTCTCTCCCAGTAAGAGAGCAGGGGGACTTGATTGAAAGGTGATCATATGGAGCAGCAATTAATAACTTGAGTTCTTGGCTAAAATGAACAACTCCAAAGCAGAACTCTTTGATTCTTCAGAAGATACTGATTCTTCTCTATCCTTAGTTCCCAGTATATGGTTTGTGTGAAATAGTTTGGGTTTCAGTGCCAGAGTCATCATCTATGTTATGTAACCACTGTCATCAACGTGATCAGCATAATCATAATTAATAAAATTAATAAATAATAAAAAGTAATGATAGTGACTCCAGTTGTTATAGTGAGAGCAAAGCCTAAGTGAAATTTGAAGACATCAAAATTTATAATACTTATATAGTGCTTTAAAGTTTATAAAGCACTTTTGAGTGGTTCTTCATATTGGTCATCTTAGGTAGGTATTATCCACATTTTACAAGCAAGGAGTCCAAGATCTACAGAGATTAAGTGATTAGCCCAAGGTCACACAGAAGTGTAGCTGGGACTCGAATGAAGTCCCGTTTGACAAGCTGTGCTTCTACTTTGGTGCTCTCCCTGCTTCCTCTCCCTTTCCTTTTTCCTAGTCCCACCTCCCCACTCCATGCCTATCCTGTGCTCTATTCTTATCACCCAGAGAATTCCTGTTTTCATGTTAACTAATAATGTTAACTAATAATCAATCATATGTTGACTGATGATTAATAGTGTTGGTAGTAACTCATAATTAAAGTGTGGGTTCATAAGAATTTAAAATATGATCTTTCCCAGAGGCATAGAGGGATTTAAATGCTTTTAAGAAGAGAGTTGTTCACTGTTATCATCATCATCACCCACAGATTTCAAGGAATAAAAACTACAGTTGACCCTTGAACAACACAGTTTTGAACTACACGGTTTCACTTATATAAGCATTTCTTTCAGTAAATGTAGTACAATACTATAAATGCATTTTCTCTGACTTGTGATTTTCTTAACATTTTTTCTCTAACATTATGATAAGAATACAGTATATCATACATATAACATGCAAAATATGTGTTAATTGACTTTATATTATTGGTAAGGTTTCCAGTCAACAGTAGGCTATCCATAGTTAGGTTTTTGGGCACTCAAAAGTTATACATGAATTTATGACTGCCGGGGGGGCGGTGGTTAGTGCCCCTAATCCCTGTGTTGTTGAAGGGTCAACTGTAGAATGTGTAGTGATTGAAAGTCTAAAAATAACTGCCATATATTGAGCTCATACTATGTAATGGGCTCTATAACAGCCACTTTAACTTTTTAACTTAATTCTCTCAGCAACTCTACTGAATTTTATACATGAAGATCCTGAAGCATTAGGAAAGTTAAATAACCTGCCCAAGGTCATGTAGTCCCTAGTGTGGTCCAAATCCTGTCTAACCATTAGACCAGCTTGGCTCCAGGATAGATGTTTACTTAGAAAAAGCCACATCCTCCCTGGCAGGAGAGCCTGAATTGAGGAGAGAGAGATGTGCTCTAGTACTGCGTGAAGAAGACATTTCACACTTGTTTTTCAATTCTGCTACTGAGTGCCCAGAATTGGAGTGAGGAGAGGCTTTTCTTCTGGACTCTGGAGACCACTCCCCCAGTCCCCTCATGATAATGAGCCATGGTTCTTCTTTCTTTTAAGTCAGAAACAAGTGACCAAATGAATCATTCATATACTCTTGGATAAGTTTGTCGCGATTGAAACTAGGCAGCTCTAGCCAAAAGCAGTGCAACTTTTTCTTTCAGTTTATTACCCACAGGCTACCTGGGAGATTGGTCTAAAATGCATACTTGAGGGCGCCTGGGTGGCTCAGTCGGTTAAGCGACTGCCTTCGGCTCAGGTCATGATCCTGGAGTCCCGGGATCAAGTCCCACATCGGGCTCCCTGCTCGGCAGGGAGTCTGCTTCTCCCTCTGACCCTCTTCCCTCTCGTGCTCTCTGTCTCTCATTCTCTCTCTCAAATAAATAAATAAAATCTTTAAAAAAAAATAAAATAAAATAAAATGCATACTTGATCATGCCATTCCTCTGCCAAAAACTCTTGAGTGGCCCCCTCTCTGTGTGATAAACACCTTAATAAGGTATCAAAGCCTCCCAGGACCTGGACTCTGCTGATCCCTCAGTCCCACCTTTGCATTCTACTGTAGTCCTACCACACAACCAATAGTCCCCACAGTTCACTCTGTTTTCTGTCCTTTGTAGGCTTTTCACATCCACTCCCTCTGCCCTTTTCACCTCCCAGCTGGCTGACCATCCTTTAGGATCCAGCTCACCCACTCATTCAGTCATTCAGCAGGTTTTCATCAAGTGCCTATCAATCACCAGGCATGGTTCTGGGTATAAAGATGTAGCGGTGAATAGAACAGACCTATCCCTGCCCTTCATGGAGCTTCTGTTCTGTAATATGTATTAAACAAGTATGATCTGGATGATAAGTGGCATGGAGAACAGAGCAGAGAGAGGGGATAGGGAGGAGCAGGGGAGTTGTCAGTGAAGGTCTTCTCAATTAGATGACATTTGAACAGAGCTGAAGGAGTTGAGGGAGTGAGCTCTTGGTTATCTGAAAGGAGAATGTACCAGAAAGGAGTGTAGGATATGAGACAGGAGCTCACTTGGCTGCCCTGATCTGGACAGATGCTCTTTTTCTGTTTTCCTCCACACTCTCATGGTTACCTCTAATGTGGCACTTACTGCATGGTATTGTAATTGTCCATGTATGTCTGTTTCCCTCACTTGGATGCGGGTTTCTTGAAGGCAGGGACTTCTGATTCCTTTCTGTCACCTCAGCACCTACGTTATGGCCTGACTTGGGAGTGGGCACCCAGAAATATTTATTAAATAAATGAATAAGGCTTTCTGAGCCTCGTTTTTATAGCCTGACAATTTTTACAAGTGATTTATAAAAGAAGGGTTGGATGACAGATGGTGAGAGGGAAAAAAAAAAAGAATTCTAAGCCTGGTTCTGTCTGGCTTAATTCCCTTTTTGGGACTCTGAGAAGTAGAATACCTGATTTTCTTTGAGAAGCATACCTGGAGACTTATATTTTCAGCATTTATAGCAGGCTAGCTAACCCGTACCATGGTGGATAAAATATAACAAAGTCCTTTATAGCTGAAATTGCAAGGAAGTAAGAGAAATTCCCAGGGGCCTAGAAACCAAGAGTAAACTGAAAACCAGAGTAGTTAGCCCCTTAACCTGACCTCAGCTGCCTGGGTGTTTGCTCATCTCACTTACGTAGAAGTTTGGGCTTTAATAGACCTGGTGTTGCAGTGAATGCAACTGTGGGCCCACATGGGTTAGACTCTCATTGGAACTGAGATCCCTGCATGAAGCTAAGTCCCTTGAAAGTCCACACCCTTTGATGGGGTGAACTAGGCAAAAAGAATTCTCACTACTGACCCGGAGAGATGACAAAGAAGATTGCCTCATATCATAGGCTCTAGTAGAGGGAAGAAGTTTCCCCAGAGAATTCTTAACCACAGGCATTTCCTCATATGGATTTGGATTTATATTTACATTACACGAATGGCCTAAGAACTCCAAAGATAGTGACATTAGAAACCATCCAGGCTGGCGATACCCCTGGATGCTTGCAGAAGCACATGCAGAATCTCTCTGGAGAGACATCCTTTTTTTTTTTTTTAAGATATTATTTATTTATTTATTTATTTGACAGAGAGAGACACAGCGAGAGAGGGAACACAAGCAGGGGGAGTGGAAGAGGGAGAAGCAGGCTTCCTGTGGAACAGGGAGCCCGATGTGGGGCTCGATCCCAGCACCCTGGGATCATGACCTGAGCCAAAGGCAAACGCTTAACAACTGAGCCACCCAGGCGCCCCTGGAGAGACACACTTGACACAGGCTCAGGCTATGTAGGATTTCCATAGAGTCTAGAGGATAGATTTGTTCAGTGAGCATGCGTATTGCTTGCTTTGTGCTTTTGAGACCATGATATTACTTTTGTATAAAAAAATTAACATTTGAGTAAATCTTTGCCTCCCTGTGTGTGATCTCCAGAAATGGGATGATAGAGCAGAACTTGTACGCAGGGCAGCATTCGGATATGGACACACATTTAGCTGCCTCCTGTCCTTGCAGAGGTCATGGAAGAAGTGACATCGTGCTCCTTCAACAGCCCTCTGTTCCAGCAGGAAGACAAGAGAGGGGTCACCTACCGGATCCCAGCCCTGCTGTACATCCCCCCCACCCACACCTTCCTGGCCTTTGCAGAGAAGCGCTCCACGAGCAGGGATGAGGATGCTCTCCACCTGGTGCTGAGGCGAGGGTTGAGGACTGGGCACTCGGTACAGGTGACTCCTCCTCCCAGATCTGGCTCCGAGCCTCACTCTCTCTCCACATTGCTTAGACTACTTCAGGGTCTGTGCCGTTTCCTGTCCGTGCTGGAAAAGCCCTGTGCGGAAGGAAGGAAAAAAAAAGAAACCAATCAAGGCAATGGCTCTCACTTACTGAGTACTGACTGTGTGCCAGGCACACATTGGACCCCCAACAGCTACTCTGTGACACAGGAATGGTTGTCAGTCACATTTTACAGATGAGGAAACTGAGGCTCAGAGATGTTGCCCCTTGTTCAAGGTCACACAGCTATAAGGAAGCACAGAAGCAGGCTTTAAACTCCATCTCTGATTCCAGAAGCCTCTGTGGTTCATTCAGATTCAACTAACACGCCGTGTGCTTTTCATTCACATTCTCTTTTGTTCTTATAAGTCAGCCAGGGAGGTAAGCACTGTTGGTTCAGTTTTCTGGTGAGGGATCCTGGTCCTCCAGGAGGTAGGTAGCTTGTTCAAGACCACAACTAGCAGATGGTGGGGGTGAGGATAACCACAATCCTCCTTCCTGCGTGTTTTATGTGAGGTGCATAGTAGCCCAGTTGTACAGGAGGAAAGAGGATGAGTGATTTGCCTCAGGCACACGCCTCCCAAGCAGCAGAGCTGGGGTTGGAGGCCTCACCTCTAAGTGGCACATCTTCACTGCATTTTTAGAGGACAGTGTTTGCTGCCTCTGGGACTGTGAGGATAGGGTTATTTCAGATCCCATTTGTCTTTTCTCCTGCAGAGCCGGCTCAAGTGAGGATCAAATGGTTGAGATCATGTGATCAAATGAGGATCAAATTGAGAGTCTTTTGTAAACAAACAAACAAACATAGATGTCTTTATAATAGGCACTCTAATCCCCCTAACCTGCCCTGGTTTTCTACCCACAGAAATATCACCACTTCTTACCAGACCATGCCTGTCCCATAACCTCAGTGCCCAGCCGTCACAAGCATTCACAGATGCGTCCATTTTGACTCATTCTCCCTTCTCTGTATTTTATCACTTACATTCTCTGACTTACCTGATTGTAGAATCTCGAAGGTAGAAGAATCAGCAGCCTAACTTCTTTCCCAGTGCAGAGATCTTCTGTATTCCCTTGGTAGCTACTAAGAGCTTAGGGGTTAAGAACATGGCTTTGGAGTCAGGCTTTGGGGACCATTTATTGGCAGTGTGACCTTGGATTTGACTCTTGTCTGTTTCATCATCTGTAAAATGTAATTAATAATAGCAGTTACATAGTAGGAACTCAACATTAGTCATCTCCCCATAAAGGGTCTGCTTACACAACTCCTCGAGTGAGGAACTTGATCCTGTGGCAACTGTTAACTTTTGTTTTTGGAATGAGACAACCTATACTTTAGAATCACCCATTGGTCTTCTGGGACATTTAATCTATATATAATATAAAGTCACTTTTCCAGAGAATGCTCTTGATGTACCTAAAAGCAGTGTTCATGCCCTCTGAGCCTTCTGATTTCGGGGCTCACCAGCTTCAGTTCTTTTAGTGGCTTGTGAGGCCACAGTCTTGATTTGCTTTCTGGTCCCTTGAAAGCTATGATTACTGCCTTTGTGATTTGATCTGGAATGTCCGCGTCCTTTTTCAAAGAGTGGTACTCTGAATTTCGGGCTCCAAGGATAGACTGACCAGCTCAGCAATGAGGTGGCTATACCATTTTGTATCTCTTTAACTCAGTCTAATGTAAAGTAGCATCTGCGTTTTGTGGCAGCTGCGTAATGCAGGGTGACTAATATTAAGTAGACTGTCAGCCAAAACCTCTGAATCCTTTTCACATTTACTGCTTTTATAAAAAATTTTAAATTATAGTAAAATATACCTAACATAAAATTTTCCATCTTAACCATTTTCCGTGTACATTGCAGTATTGTTAACTAGAGGCACATTGTTGCGCACCAGATCTCTAGAACTTTTCCATCATTCATGGCCGCTACTTTATACCCTTCGAACAACTCCTCGGTTCCCCCTCCCCCAGCCCCTAGCCACCACCTTTCTTCTTTGTTTTTATGAATTTCTAGATACTTTATTTATTTATTTATTTTATTTTAAGGTTTGTTTTT